CCCCCTGTGGGATACAGGAGGCCCCAGCGTTTCTAGATTTGAAGCTTTCGTGACTGCAAGGATTCATACTCTTAGTTCTTTCGGGAAAGTCACGTAGGTGACTTTTTTGCTGTGACAGTTTCACCTGAAGACGAAAGCTTGCGTTGCCTCCGAAACGTCGTGATTTTTTTGTTTTTATTTTTAATTTTTAATTTCATGTTTTTACCTACGTGACTTTGACCGAAAGAACTAAGAGTATAAGGCCCCAGCATGCCGGTTCTGGCAGCCGCCACGGTGTGGACAGTCCTCCACTCTGGGGCAGGATAACGACAATCAACAGGGAGGGGCTCTTCATCCGAATCAAATCATGACGGGGGATGTGGGAGCGCATTGGTGCGGTGTGGGAGGCTGCGAATCCCATGCCACTGTGGACTCGACTCCCGATCGGCAGCAGGCGGAGGCTGCCTATTCTTGCTGGCGGGGGCAAGGCTGATGAGTCAAAGATGCCTTCTATGACCTCCTGCCCCAGGTGTTGGCTAAAGTACCCCCTCCCCCGCCCCAATTTGGGATACGAGTCTTCTTATTGGGCGACTTAACAAACACGAGTGGGTCGTAACAACACTTGGGCAGGAGTTATTGGTCCGGATGGACCAGATCAGCGAAAAAAAACACAACAACGGCAGAAGAATGCTGCTCGATTTGGGTGTCACGGTGGCTAGGAGATGTTAACTACCTCGCCTAGTATACAGGAGGTCGTGGGTTCGATCCCGACCCTGACGCCTGCTGCTGTATATTTGGAGTTTGCGTCTCTCTCTCATCATCATCACGGTGGCTAGGAGATGTTAACTGCCTCGCCTAGTATACAGGAGGTCGTGGGTTTCGATCCCGACTCTGACGCCTGCTGCTGTATATTTGGAGTTTGCGTTTCTCTCTCATCATCATCACGGTGGCTAGGAGATGTTAACTACCTCGCCTAGTATACAGGAGGTCGTGGGTTCGATCCCGACCCTGACGTCTGCTGTATATTTGGAATTTGCGTCTCTCTCTCTCATCATCATCACGGTGGCTAGGAGATGTTAACTACCTCGCCTAGTATACAGGAGGTCGTGGGTTCGATCCCGACCATGACGCCTGCTGTATATTTGGAGTTTGCGTTTCTCTCTCATCATCATCACGGTGGCTAGGAGATGTTAACTACCTCGCCTGGTATACAGGAGGTCGTGGGTTCGATCCCGACCCTGACGCCTGCTGCTGTATATTTGGAGTTTGCGTCTCTCTCTCATCATCATCACGGTGGCGAGGAGATGTTAACTACCTCGCCTAGTATACAGGAGGTCGTGGGTTTCGATCCCGACCCTGACGCCTGTAGATGTGGAGCTTGCGTGTTCTCCCCGTGCTCGTGTGGATTTTCCTCCGGGTCCTTGGCTGCTATAAATGTCCACATGATGATAAGCCACTTCGTCGGGCTATCATTTGTGGCCAGCTCGCTTCCGAAAAAGAGTATACAGGTCAATGGGCTTTACCCTGGTAAGTAAAAAATAGTTTTTTAATAGAATACAGCCAATGGTCTTGTAATCACCAAGTCCACATCAGACTCGTCTTCTCGTGCACGCTGGGCCCAAACCGGGACCCCTGGCTGTACTTTGTTGAGGCTGAGCAGAGAATGTGGGTCCCCATGTCCTTCACACCAGCAACCACCGTCCGTGGAGTTGGTCTGTCCACGGGCAACGCCGGTGGCCCAACACAATGGCAACTCACCCTTTAACGCAACTCACTCAATAGGAGACTTGCAGCACCACCCCCCCCCCCCCTAATCGCTGTCCTCATTACGGGGAACGAAATGGCTCTCTCTGATCTCTGACCTCAAAGGTGCGGTCTGCAGATTTTTTTGTAGTTTGCCGAGCATTTCTGTGAGGTCTTGCGGAAGGGTGAAACACCCTCTAAGCCCAAACAACATCGTGGGGCAATTGGGGAGTTTGGGGGGTGAGAGGCTGCCTGACGCTACGATGGTTGCGGAGCATCAAAACCGATGAAGTAGCCACCACAACCGCCACCCCACCTGCGAGTGGCTGGCCGATGTCGCTGTTCCGCCAACAAAGTGACGTGACGTTCTACGGGCCCCCGAAGGAGAAAAAAAAACCGAACGGATTGTGTGACCACATATTTCGAGCAGGATTTTATGGCGCTTGCAATGGATTTTACAACAACAAAAAACGGGAGGCTGGCTGATCGATAACCCGGTGAGGACAACTCGCTGCCGGCTAACCACGGTGTATATGTTGATGACTTGGTAATTGCTGGTCACTCGGAGAAAATTGGGGGGGGGGATCTGCTGTGGAAACAAACCAGCCTCTGCCAGACCAAGGCACCTGGGCCCTTTGTGTCATCAAACACTCCACCCCCTCAACTCTCCAATGAGTAATGGATGGGGCAGTTGTGGAGAGAGTGGAGGAGTTTACATATTTGGGCAGTGTGCTCATGCCCCAGCTCCGGTTTGGCAGTGGAGGTCTCACTTCGAATCAGTCGAGTGCCATTATCTTTTCGTCAGATGCGTAATGCTGCCCGGAAGCTGCATCGCCAGTCACTTGAAGTTTCGAGACTTCTTAGTTAATAATATTCATGACCTCTCGTGAAGGGACGCCACCGATCCGTTGGAGGCAGTCGACGCTCACAACAACGAGCGGAGCGCCGGGCGGCTAAAACACAGAAATGTGGCATAGTGGGGGAGCACAGGTGGTGCATCTGCCAGTCATCTCAGTCAGTCAACCCATAGCACCTGAGTCTGTTCCATGACCTCATGTCAGCGAGACATCCACACTTCACGTCATAGCCTCAAGATGCACATAGCCTGGCACAAGCGCCGTGGGTGACATCAGCTTCCGTTATTGTGTTGCGTATCATAATTCTACATATATGTTTCGCATCGAACTAAGACACACGTGGTAAAGACAGGAGGTTTCTTGCCTGTAAGAGCCGCTAAGTCACCAGCTTTGATTCAAGCAAGGCAGACCGCTGCTGCCGATGAGACACTGCGTGTCGAAACCGGTCCAGAGCTGGCGAACATCAGTGGCGAGCTGTTAACTACCTCGCCTGGTACGCAGGAGTGATTCGTGGGTTCGATCCCAACCCCTGACGCCTGCTGTATATTTGGAGTTTGCGTGTCTCTCTCTCTCCCCGTGGTCACGTGGATTTTTCTCCGGGTGCTCCGGTTTTCCCCCCTCCACATTTAGAATCAACATCACGCGTTTAGAGTGTTTGGCTGCTGTAAATGTCCACGTGATGGTAAGCCACTTTGTTGAGCTATCATTTGTGGGCCAGTTCGCTTCTGAAAAATAACTGTATAGCCCAATGGGCCTTACCTGGTAACATAAAAATAAAACATAGTTTATAGTTTTATAGAGTGATGTCCTAACCGGTCCCGATCATAGATTAACCTCCACCCACACCGTGGCCCCCTTCTTTCGCCAGCTCACATTGACGAGCGCGGAGAAGTATGGCCAAACAAACAAACAAACAGACAACCCCCACAACCGGCACGGCCTTCATCCAGCAGTGGAGTGACAAAAGGGGCATCGAGTTGCGTTTGTGTAGAGCGTGGTTGCGTCAAAGGGGCTTTGTCGAGACGGCAAAAGCAAACGAAATGTTGTACGATGGTTATCTGCAGAGGGAGAGAATAAAGAACAGAAGCCCCGGTGATTGATATCTGAGCGCGGAATAGTCGGCAGAGAGGGGATCTCATCCAGCTGTGGATCGATAATGACCGATGAGCATGATGGTGGTGGTGGTGGTGGTGTTGTTCAGATGGTCATAAAGATAATGCTGAAAATAAAGATGTGATGTTGATGCTGTAGAGTATGGCATTGCTGCTCAGGATGATACTGCTGCTGCTGATGATGCTACCATCACTGCTGATGATGCTGATGATGATGCTGATTATGCTGATGATGATACCATCATCATCAGCAGCAATGACATAATTGCAGCATCAACATCATCATATATTAATTATCATAATTATCATCACTGCTGCTGCTGATGATGCTGATGATGATACCATCATCATTAGATGCTACCATCATCATCAGATGCTACCATCATCAGCAGCAGCAATGACATAAAGTGCAGCATCAACATCATAAAATTCATTTTCATCACTAGCACCACTGCTGCTTATGATGATGCAACTCATGATGCTAATATCACTGCTGCTCCGGATGATGGAGATGCTACTAATGATGATAACGATGCTGATGCTTCTGCTACGAATGATACAACCGCTGCTGCTGCTGATGGTGTTTCATACTGCCCTCTACTGCTGAAACAGAAGTTTCTGCTGACGGGGATGTCGCTGCTACTGCTGCTGATGAGCATTCTATAGAGGATGATGCTACTGATGGATGTGTGTAACAGTCTTGCTGCTCATTGAGCTGTTGATGATGACGACACTCCTGATGACGACGATGACATTACGCACGAGAATAACGCCACTGCTGCATGATACTAATGACGATGATGATGCCGCTGCTGCTGATGCTGTCGACGAATTATGGTGCTGCTGATGCCGATTCCGCAACTGCTCCTGTTGATGATTGTAACGACGATTCTGATGCGGACAAGTGTGATGCGTGTAACAGAGTCAGACTAATTGAGACGACCACACACAGGCACTGCTGCTGCTGATACGACTATGATCACGACCCCGCCGCTGCTGCTGATTATGATGACAACGCGAATACTCCTGGTTATAATACTCCAGCTGACGATGATGCTACTGCTGCCACTGATGACTCTGCTAGTGTTGATGATCATCATTCCACTAGTGACAATGATTACCATCATAACTATGATTACTGCTGCTGCTGATGATGATGATGCTGCTGCTGCTTTGACAATGACGACGACGATGGTGATGCTGCTACGGATGATTCCGCTGCCGCTGCTGCTGCTGCTGATGATCATCATCATCATCACAACTTCAATCCCATTGAAACTCTCGCTCTCTCGCTCTCAGCCACACTCACCTTGGCGCCGATGAAGCACACGTGACAGAGCGCGATCAGCAGCTGGGTGCGCAGATCCATGGCGAGACGTGGCCACCGCTCTCGCGCTCTCTCTCCCGTCTCGCGGTGTCGCGAACTCCTCCTCCGTTCGACTCCTCTTAGGATTCTCTCTCCGGAAACCTTACAGACCTCCTCCTCCTCCTCCTCCCTGGGACTTGTGTCTCATGGTGTCTCCGCCAGCCACGTCTTATCTTCTTATCGTCCCGGATCAGAAATTTAAAAAAGCCGGAGCGAGGTGTTCAATCGGAGCGCTTTCGAATAAGAACGCGCGAGGATGAACGATGGTGATGGTGATGATGGTGGTGATGGTGATGATGGTGATGGTGGTGATGGTGATGATTCAAGCTGAACCTTTGGGGTCAGGCGAGTCCAGAAGATTTAAATCGGCGGCTTATCGCGCGTTGATTCCAGACCAGCACGAGTCGAGCGTTCCCGACCCGAGTCCTCGGATTGAGCCTTGACGTTGCCGGGGACGAGTCCAGAGCCGTTCACTCGTTGTTGTCGTTGTTGTTGTCGTTGTTGTTGCACTGGCTTTCGTGGTCGCTTCCACTCGAACTGGCCGAGAAAAGTGAGACTCTCCCGTCTCTCTCTCTCTCTCTGGTGTCTGCAGCTTTGCTTTTTTTGTGTGGTGGCGGTGAAACTAAAATAAAAAATTCGAAACACTCCACCAAACCAAAAGAGCCGCCGCTGCTGATGACTCAATCTTTCACTGCGCCGTTTCACAGCCCCGACTCACACCGAGGGTGGACACGAGGAGCCTCGGCACCCACTAACACCACCACCACCTCCTTCCTCGCTACTCCAACTCAGTCCAAACACCCCCCCGCCCGCCTCTCCAAGCCCGCGCGCTCGACGAATCTCGTGACGAAAGTTGGAGGCTAGAATCAAACCCTCCCGCTCGCCACTCACCACCGATCCTTCGGTGGCACAAAACTACCAAGGCCACCAACCCAGCGAGTTCGCTACGAGGTTCGTCGCTGCAATGCACAAACTACTCGGCCAGGCGTGAGCGACTGCCTCCCAACGCCACCGCCACCAGCAGCGAAAATCGAGAATCCGCGCACTTGCTGGATGGAGCTTGTCCCGGACTCTTTAACTTGCTGTGCGGCTGCTGCAACGCGCCGCTGGTCGTTCACGCGATACAACGAAAAGTGCTTCTGTGACCACCACGCCACGCCACGCTTCCTCCTCCTCTTCTTCTTCCTAGGTCGTCTTCGATGCCACGACGAAGAACCACGCACATCAACAAGTGCTGCGGCTTACTACCAAACCAGCGCAGGCAGTCACCAACACCACCGCCACGGGCAGCAGTAGCAGCAGCAGCAGCGGCAGCAGCAGCAGCTCCTCCTGCCGACCAGCTGAGACGTTCGCCAAACTGAGCGTTGCTCGCCCCAACGCCTGCCGCTTTAACATTGGCGGCGTGGGTGTGCGAGTTGAGCTACAGCGGCAGCAGCAGCCAAGAGATTCGTCGTCTGGCCTTGCCCATCCCCTCTGCGTGCGCGCGTGTATGTGTGTGTATGTGTGTGTGTATGTGTGTGCGTGTATGTGTATGTGTGTGCGCGCGTGTGTGCGTGTGTGTGCGTGTGCGCGTATGTGTGTGTGCGCGCGTGTGTGCGTGTGTGTGCGTGTGCGCGTATGTGTGTGTGTACGCGCGTGTGTGCGTGTGTGCGTTGTGCGCGTATGTGTGTGTGTGCGCGCGTGTGTGCGTGTGTGCGCGCGTGTATGTCTGTGTGTGTGTGCGCGCGTGTGTGCGTGTGTGTGCGCGCGTGGGTGCGTGTGTGTGCGTGCGCGTATGTGCGTGTGTGTGTGCGCGTGTGTATGTGTGTGTATGTGTGTGCGCGCGTGTGTACGTGTGCGCACGTGTGTGTGTGTGCGCGTGTGTGCGTGTGTATGTGCGTGTGTGTGTATGTGCGGGTGTGTGTATGTGCGTGTATGTGTGTGTGTATGTGTGTGTGTATGTGCGTGTGTGTATGTGTGTGTGCGCGTGTATGTGTGTGTGTGTATGTATGTGCGTGTGTATGTGTGTATGTGTGTGTGTGTTGAGAGTCTGCGCGTACGTTCCCCCCACCCCACCCCTCGTGTCTGCTACTTCGCGCGCGTCTGCTCGCTCGCTCGCTAAAAGCACTTGCCCCCCCCCCCCACGCAGTCCGTCAAGGCTATACGGGGGATCTTTGTCTTTGGTGTCAGCGTTACGCTGCGCTCAGAGTTCTATCCAGCCGTGCAACTAACTCTCTCTCTCACACACGCACGCGCACTCAGATCTCTCTCCGTGTTTGCATAATGTCTGATTTACTCTGCAACTCCGCAAGGTTGATGCTATCCGGGGCCAGGGTTCGGCAGCAAGATCTGTGATGCTGGAGAGGGACAGTTGGTGGAGTTTCGCGATGGGACGTCTCTCACGTGGAAGGGGCGCGCAGACTACAGTGGGTCGACTCGGCTAACATTTATAGCGCGTGAGAGAAGATGGGAGGAGGAGGTGGTGGTGATTGTGATGGGGAGGGTGGAGGGGGAGGGAGGGAGGGGTGGTGATTGTGATGGGGATGGTGGGTGGAGGTGGAGGGAGGGGTGGTGATTGTGATGGGGAGGGTGGGGGGAGGGAGGGAGGGTGGTGATTGTGATGGGGAGAGTGGGTGGAGGTGGAGGGAGGGGTGGTGATTGTGATGGGGAGGGTGGGTGGAGGTGGAGGGAGGGGTGGTGATTGTGATGGGGAGGGTGGGTGGAGGGGGAGGGAGGGAGGTGGTGGGAGGGGAGGAGGGAGGGCGAGTCTAGAGTCCAAGTAGAGGGGTGTAGGAAGACTGAGCGAGTGAGAGGTGGGAGGGAGGGGTGGATGTGGTGGTGGATAGAGGGATAGTGGTGGTGGTATGGGGAGCGGTGGCGCAGCGGTGAGCGCGCTGCGCTGCGAACGTGTCCACCCGGGTTCGATTCGCGCTCACGGACAACACCGGCGACGATTATCTGAACCGGTCCTGGGTCTCCGCCTTAGGTCGACGCAGCCTCCCCTAGGTCGACTCAGCCTCAAATGAGTACCTGGTGCAGTGTGTAATACATCGCCACTGGGGAGACAAAGGGGGTCGGGCGTGGTGGTGGCCACCCACTCCCTCGTGTGCCGTGCCGGCCTTCATAGTTGCTCGCTAACAGCACTTGCCCCTACAGTCTGTTAAGGCTTCACGGGGGATATTTGCCTTTGTTTGTGGTGGTGGTGGTGGTGTGTGGGTGGGTGGGATGAGGAGTTAAGATTAGGGTGGTTGAGTGATCGTTGAGTATATACAGTACGTATTTTTCCAAAGTCATTGATTTCCTGCGGGCAGCAACAATCAGCACTATTGAAGGTGCAAGCGATAAGAGTGAACGCACCATGCACCCTTCGCCTGCTGCTGCTGCTGCTGCTCAAACGAACGTTCACACGGCGCTCACCTACCGTGTACAGCCCTGAGCCAGCGGGTGGCAATTCCACATTACTATGGCAGGCGGCGGAATTTTGCGAGGGGCAACGTGACGACTGATGACAATGGAGGTTCATGTGAAACCCGACTTTTGGCCGGACTCTCCTGATCATAAGGCGCTCTGGAAAGTACAAATGTTTTTAAGCTAAACTCAAAACTATACACTATACTATACGCTACTTTACACTACTATACACTAGTTTACACTACTATACACTACACTACTATACACCATACACTACTATACACTATACTCTACAATACACTACACTATACACTACACTACCATACACTACACTCCTATACACTACCATACACTACTATACGATACACTACGCTATACACTACTATACGATCCACTACGCTATACACTACTATACACTACACTATACACTACTATACACTACACTATACACTACTATACACTACACTACTTTACACTACGCTATACACTACTATACACGACGCTATACATTACACTACCATACACTACACTATACACTACACTACTATACACTACGCTATACACTACTATACACTACACACTACACATTGGGCTCTATGAAAGCTCCGTCGTTTCGTGATTAGTCCTTAATAAGGGTGTTTAACCGGGTAAGGGTCCCACTCAGCTACGCAGCTCTTGTTCAAACGCGACCTTGGCGATCACAAATGATAGGTCATCATCATCGTGCGGGCATTGTATAGCAGCAGCCAAACACTCTGAACGCGTGGCGACGTCAATTCTAAATGTGGAGGGGGAAAACCGGAGGACCTGGAGAAAAAAAATCCACGCGACCACGGAGAGAGAGAGACACGCAAACTCCAAATATACAGCAGCAGGCGTCAGGGTCAGGATCGAACCCACGACCTCCTGCGTACCAGGCGAGGTAGTTAACATCTCCTAGCCACCGTGATGATGATGAGAGAGACACTCAAACTCCAAATATAGAGCAGGCGTCAGGGTCGGGATCGAACCCACGATCTCCTCCATACCAGGCGAGGGAGTTAACATCTCCTAGCCACCATGATGATGATGAGAGAGACACTCAAACTCCAAATATACAGCAGCAGGCGTCAGGGTCGGGATTGAACCCACGACCTCCTGCGTACCAGGCGAGGGAGTTAACATCTCCTAGCCACCGTGATGATGATGAGAGAGACACTCAAACTCCAAATATACAGCAGGCGTCAGGGTCGGGATCGAACCCACGACCTCCTGTAAACCAGGCGAGGGAGTTAACATCTCCTAGCCACCGTGGCGCGAAAGTGAGACGCATCTCATACTTGTGTCCGGTGTCAATAAAGTTCTTTAAATGTGGTCTCGCACACACGCGCGCACACTAATAAGTAATAGCCTTTAACCTTTAACAGGCTGTAGGGGCAAGTGCTGTTAGCGAGCACTTTTGAAGGCCGGCACGGCACACGAGGGGTGGGTGGCCAGCACTACGCCCGACCGCCTTTGTCTCCCCAGTGGCGATGTTTACACACCGCACCAGGTGCTCATTTGAGGCTGAGTCGACCTAGGGGAGGCCCAGGACCGGTTCAGATAATCGTCACCGGTATTGGCCGTGAGCGGGAATCGAACTCGGGTCGCTGGGTTCGTAGCTGCAGCGCGCTAACCGCTACACTACTGCTTCCCATACATATAAACAACACCCACACCGACAACTTTGCTTTAAAATGCGGATAAGACGGTTCAATCGCACTTTTATCCCCGACAAAAAAATGTACGACAATTAATTAAAAGAACAATTCCATTCACCAAGGTGAAGGCTAACGTCGGAGTGACAGCCCACGGAGGGAGACGCCACTTCCGAGAGAAAAGAACCCTCCACTGTGGAGATGGAGCGACGGATATCAGCCGGTGTACAGATGCCGGAATGGAACGATAACTTAATTCTAGATTTGAAGTTTTCGTGACTGCAAGGATTCATACTCTTTGTATTTTTTCGGTAAAAGTCACGTAGGTAAAAAAATTAAAATAAATTCAATCACGACGTTTCGGAGGCAACACAAGCTTCCGTCTTCAGGTGGAACCGTCACTTGATACAGAGGTGGGGGGAGGGGGGGTGCCTCCGTCCATCAGCGGATAGATCCTGGACTGATTGTGGGAGCAAAACCCCGAGGTGTGACAACTCTCAAAACTCCACACAGATCGATACAACGCTTTTTGCACCGCTTGCGTCCGGGCCCACCACATTGTTCCGAGCCTATAACATCTGGAATTGATCGCCGATGTCCCTGAGATGTCCGAAAGTAGAACAATCCTTTGAGGTGTGCGCCCTGTCCAACTTGTAACTCCGTCGATCGTCTCGGCTCGTTAAACGCCGAGCCGGAGAAGATGCGACACCTTTGGATTCACCGGCGCACAGCTGTGAAACACGCACAATAACAATAACAGCAACGACAACAACAACGATAACGACGACAACAACAACCATTCCTATTCTTGGGTTTTTTCAGTAAAGTCACGTAGATAATTTATTTTAATTAAAATTATTGAAAGTAAAATAAAAATAAAATAAAACACGACGTTTCGGAGGCAACACAAGCTTCCGTCTTCAGGTGGAACCGTCACAGCACGATAGCTGTATCAAGTGATGCAGCTGAAACGTCGTGATTTTTATTTTATTTTACTTTTATTAATTTACATTTTTTTATCTACGTGACTTTACCGAAAAAAACCTAAGAATATGAATCCTTGCAGTCACGAAAGCTTCAAATCTAGAACAACATTCCTCTTCGTATATTTATTCCTTCATTTCTTGATTCACATCTTCAGTTAAATCTCCCCCCCAAAAAATTATCTCCGTTACCGCCACTGCGCACAGAGTTGGCGAAATGTTGACTACCTCGCCTGGTGCACAGGAGGTCGTGGGCTCAATCCCGACCCAGCAGCCTGCTTCGTGTTAAACTATAGATTGTGTGTGTGTCTCTTTAACGACACATTTATATTTACGCGATCTAACTAAAAAAAACCTCGATGAAATGCCTATATAATATGGCTCAGTGGGCAT